CTTCTTATGCACTCACGGGTTGGAACGCACCACAAACGCTACGTCTACGTGCTTTCGTGGGCAGAAAAGTGTTAACGGCCTTAGTTGACAGTGGGTCAACTCACAATTTTATTAGTGAGAAAACAGCTCATGAATTAAAGACTCGAATGACTCCGGTAAAACCATTCACGGTGAAGGTAGCTGACGGTAAGACATTAAAATGTCATGGGAAGTTCGATTTCGTCGTGATGCGGCTAGGAAAGGTGGACTTCACAATTACGGTGTACGCCTTACCCCTGGTAGGTCTTGATGTTGTTTTAGGCGTTCAATGGCTAAGGAGCTTAGGTCCTATTGTGTGTGACTGGACAGCCCAAACAATGGAATTTAAATGGGAGGGCCAAGTTCAAAGACTTGAAGGCATTCACTCACGTCTGGCGGAAGCTCAGTCGCGCGAGATGGTGAAGGAGGTGCGGCGCGGGGAATCGTTGTTTGCAGTCCAAGTTAACAACGCCACAGACCGAGCGGTCGCAATACCCGACACAATGCAGCCTCTAATACACAAGTATAGTGCTCTTTTTCAACCACCCACACGACTACCGCCTAATAGGCCCATTGAACATCGGATTCCATTGAAAGATGGCGTTGACCCGGTGAATGTGCGACCATATCGTTACGCACATTTCCAAAAAGACGAAATCGAGAGACAAGTGCATGAGATGATGACCGCGGGTATCATTCGTCCAAGTTTCAGCCCCTTTTCATCCCCGGTCTTACTAGTTAAGAAGAAAGACGGTACTTGGCGGTTTTGTACCGACTACCGCGCACTAAATTTAGTAACAATCAAGGACCGGTTCCCTATTCCAACGGTTGACGATATGCTAGATGAGTTACATGGGGCTAGATTTTTTACAAAATTGGATCTCACGGCGGGTTATCATCAGGTTCGTATGCACGAGGAGGATATTCACAAGACAGCCTTTCGAACACACAACGGGCATTACGAGTACTTGGTCATGCCATTCGGGCTTTGTAACGCCCCGTCCACATTTCAAGCCTTGATGAACGACATTTTCCGGGAGCTTCTACGGAAATTTGTTTTGGTATTTTTCGATGACATACTTGTGTATAGCACGACATGGGAGGAGCATCTTCAACATGTGGAGCAGGTTTTTGCAGTTTTACAACAAAATCAGTTGGTGGTTAAGTTAAAAAAGTGTGAATTTGGGCAACGAGAGTTGGAGTATCTAGGCCATATCATCTCCGATGAGGGAGTAAAGGTGGATAGAGCAAAAGTTCAGGCTATGTTGGACTGGCCCGTACCCACTAATATTACAGAACTTCGAGGGTTTCTTGGTTTGACGGGTTACTATCGTAAGTTTGTTCGGGACTATGGCATTATCGCACGACCATTAACCAACTTATTGCGCAAAGGAGCGTTCGCTTGGAGTAGCGAGGCAGAAGAGGCGTTCAAGTCTTTAAAAAAGGCTCTTACAACGACACCGACATTAGCACTTCCTGACTTTACGGTTCCATTTGTAATACAAACGGATGCCTCGGGTGAGGGCATTGGAGCAGTGTTATCTCAAGGAGATAGGCCGATTGCTTTTATGAGTCGAGCTTTGGGTGTTACCAAACGTTCCTGGTCAACGTATGCACGAGAGATGCTGGCTATCATTGTGGCGATACGAACTTGGCGACCATATCTTTTGGGGCGGCACTTCATCATACAAACGGACCAGAGCAGTTTGCGTTATCTTTTAGAACAACGCATTTTAACTCCAGAGCAGCAGAAATGGGCCGGAAAATTAGTTGGCTATGATTATGAGATCACATACAAGCCCGGTAAGACTAACTTAGCAGCCGACGCATTATCCCGTGTGGTCGGTAGTCCCATACTCAATGCCGTTTTTGTGCAACAAACAAGCCTTTGGAATGATATCCGCGAACTAGCCAAGAATGACGATCCGCAGACGGACGGTCAAACTGAAGTAGTTAATCGGTGTATTGAACAATTTCTCCGGTGTTTTGTTCACAATAGGCCCACGCAATGGAGTGCACTACTCCCTTGGGCTGAGTTTTGGTATAACACCACATTTCATGTGTCAACGGGAACAACTCCGTTTCATGCTCTCTATGGTCGGCCACCGCCCGTCATTCCTCGTTATGAGGTTGGTTCTTCTACTCTCGCGGAAGTTGATGAACAGTTAACCTCCCGGGACGAGTTATTGCTGGAGTTGAAACAATACC